ATATATATATATATATATAATGTCAAAACAAACTCTTATTTTGGATGTGATTAATCATAATACATTCTATCTACAGGGTGGGCCATTTATATGGATACACCTTAATAAAATGGGAATGGTTGGTGATATTAACGTCCTGTTTGTGGCACATTATTATATGTGAGGGAGCAAACTTTTCAAGATGGTTGGTGACCATGGTGGCCATTTTGAAGTCGGCCATCTTGGATACAACTTTTGTTTTTTCAATAGGAAGAGGGTCATGTGACACATCAAAATTATTGGGAATTTCACAAGAAAAACAATGGTGTGCTTGGTTTTAACGTAACTTTATTCTATTATGAGTTATATACAAGTTTCTGACCACGTATAAAATGTGATCAATGTGATGCCCATTGTGTTGGATTGTCAATGCTACACTCTTCACACACTGATAGCAACACCGCAGGAGAAACACTAGCACAGGCTTCCAGTATCCGTAGTTTCAGGTGCAGCACGTCTTGTAGCTTTACACACACTATAGACAAATGCCTACAGTTGACCCCAAAGATAAAAGTCTAAGGGGGTCAGATCGGGAGACCTTGGGGGCCATTCAAAGGGCTCACGATAACTAATCCACTTTTCAGGTAACTGTTCATCTAGGAATGCTCGGACCTGACACCCATAATGTGGTGGTGCAAAATCTTGCTGGAAAAACAGGGAACGTACCAGCTTCAGTGCATGAAGAGGGAAATTCATCATCAATTTTTCATCATCATCAGGTTTCCATTGATGTAGAATGGCCCCACTATCTTTGTTGTCCATGGTGTGAAGATACAAGATGTGCAGCACCTGAAATCACGGATACTGGAAGCCTGTGCTGGCATTTCTCCTACGGTGTTGCTATTCGTGTGTGAAGAGTGGGAGAAGAGGGTTGCATTGACAATCCAACACTATGGGCATCACATTGAACACATTTTATAAGTTGTCAGAAACTTGTGAATAACTCATGAAAGAATAAAGTTACGTTAAAACCAAGCACACCATTGTTTTTCTTGTGAAATTCCCAATAATTTTGATGTGTCATATGACCCTCTTCCTATTGAAAAAAACAAAAGTTGGATCCAAGATGGCCGACTTCAAAATTGGCCACCATGGTCACCACCCATCTTGAAAAGTTTGCTCCCTCACATATACTAATGTGCCACAAACAGGACGTTAATATCACCAACCATTCTCATTTTATTAAGGTGTTTCCATATAAATGGCCCACCCTGTATATATGATGTGTGTGAGTTTGTGTGTGTGTTGTTTAAATGGGATAAAATTCAAGGATTTTGTGCCTAATAGATGCATCTGGTCCAGTTTACAGTTTTATCAAATGCACATAATTGCGATTACGTTTATTGATATCATGTTTGTATTTAAGAAAGCAGCACATGTGATCAGCACTACCATCATCATGGTGAAACTAAATATTAAATGTCAGTAGCACATGCAGATTTTAGCACAAATCTAGACCGTTCTTCACTAGCAAACAAAGCAAATGCATGTGGATATTCATGGTGTGGATTCCAGCTATGTACTGTTTCCCTCTACTGGACAGCAAAACCAGCCGCAGCACAATATTTTACCAGATTGAATCATGACAAACGAATGCACAATTGGACAATCTGCTAAAATCAGATCTTTTTAAAGGGAAAATAGTTATTAAAGTGGCTCAGCATCTCTGAAATGATTATTGTGGATGCAGTGGTTCATCTGTTTGTGTTTTGATTCACAGAAATGCCTTAAAACTCCACATTTCACTCTCTTTTATACTTATTCTGTCGTGCATTGGGTTTTTCTATTCTTTTATTGCTTCATTGTTGACCCTCATTACTACTTAAAGCATTGCCATCTACTGCGGTGATCTTAATATTTCTAATTTACCATGGTACGTTTAACTGTAAAAGTCTAAATGTTAACGGTACAAAGTCTGCACAGTGGACTGGAGTCATTTACAGCGTTGTTTGCTAATTGTTGATGCCTGTTGTAAACACACTGATTTTGTTTTGTTGTATTTGTGGTTCAGCCCAGTTATTGTGACTTTGGTTGTCTCCTGTTTAACACAGTTGTCATTTTGCGGTACAATAATGCTAAATTCACTGTTTTACATCTTTCTTTTTGTACTTGCTCACGTTGAGGAATAAATATCTTTACGTCGTTTGTTTTGGGCACTGTGGTTTGCTGCAAGCAGAATCAGTTTAATAAATACACAGACTGAACAGCTTTTAATTAATACATTTCTTAATTAATGGCAATTAAGGTAAACTATTTTAAAATAGCACTGATGACAAATGACTGATGGAATCCTGCAAATGATATGCATATACTCATTTACAGAAAGAAAATATGTAGAGTTTTATGATAAAAAGTATATAGTTTTTTACATGGTTTGTGTGTATGTATATATATATATATATATATATATATATATATATATATATATATATATATATATATATATATATATATATATATATATATATATATATATATATATATATATATATATATATATATATATATAAATCTGTATTAAAATATATTGAGTAGTTTGTATTTATAATATTCAGTATGTTGTTTATGAAATATATACACTCACCATCCACTTTATTAGGTACACCTGTCCAACTGCTTGTTAACGCAAATTTCTAATCAGCCAATAGGATGGAGGCAACTCAATGCATTTAGGCATGTAGACATGGTCAAGACGATCT